AAACATGAGGATTGAGGGTGGCTCACCGCGCACGAACAGTCCACAAAGAGCGAACATTACTGCGAACGTTTGCATGTTTCTCGCTCCAAGAAAATTTCGTGTGCACTCGCTTGTTTTTGAGAAGTGTTCTACATCCGATTATTTGTTTGTTGCGAGTGGCGGCACGCGCACCAGGTACCCTGAGTCACGGCCTGAGACGAGAGCTCTTTGACTACGTTGTCCATGGCCGGAGACCCACAGACAAACGGGCCGGGTTGGCTTGTGCCGTAACCTTGCGCTTCAACACTTGAGATTCAAAAAGGCATCGTTGATGTAACCGATTCTGAGCAGTGAGAAGACGAGCAAGCAGGAGATCGGAGATGGTTCTGGAGATGAAACAACACCGAACACGGGCTGCCAAAAATATCGGAAAGCTAGCACTCGCGGACCGAGCCAAGACTGCAAGAGTACAGATCCAGCACAAACATGAAGATTGAGGGTCGCTCACCGACCCGTGCACCAGGCTGACCAGCGGCAGCGGTCCACAAAGAGCGAAAATTACTGCGAAAGTTTGTTTCGCGTTTCCTGCAACTTTCGCGTTCAAAACTGCGAACGTTCGCACGAAGTTTCGCTTTTCGTGACGTCAAACGAAAATTCGCGCGAACGTTCGCTCTGCAAAACCTCTCTAATATCATCGCCTTTGGTGGTTATTTTCCACCGTGCATGAATCATTAACAATCATCATCTATGTGTCACGGCCTAACCATCCTCGTAACTCCCCTCATCGTGACAAGTGCTGTACCGTTGAAACCTACTTTGCTTCAGTGTATATTCGCTCCAAAGCTCTTGTTTTGTTGCATAGTGATCTGACGCAGTGTGCTATAGCCTATCGGGTAATATGGATAAGATTAGTACAGTCGGCATCGCCTATCGAGTCACCAGGTACATGTATAAGGATACTAGTACATGTATACCGGCTTAATGATATCGGAACACAAATAGCACTATGTGTGCAATATTCCTTTCTAAGCTCACGCTGTGCGGTGCAGATAAGTCATGTGTCGTTGCCAACTTGCCGCATGTGCAGCAGGAAGGCACCACATGTCGACTACTACTTATACTGTACAGCATTGTGTGCTTACATGCATCTACGGCCTTGTGGATGCAATTGAGTCTCACATACATGTACATGAAATATTGCTTGTAGTGCGGCATCAGGTGTTAACATACAATGGCTAAATATTTTTCTCGCAATAATGACCGTATTCACCACAAGTGTGTTTATGTCCAGAGCCAACTCAAGTCCTGTATTATTTATGACCATGACAACAAGACTTCCGGGCTGAAATTCTTCTATGACAGGCATGAACACTTGCGTTACAATTGTTCGTGATTGTACGAAGTACATATTCGCTGTTGCATCAATTTTGCACCATTTACATTGTAGTGCCACTGTACTAGTGGTATCACCTGCATGCGTATTGAGTCAAACAAGGTAACCTCTGTATAATTATGCTTATCGTGGCTATCAAGAGCTTCGATGCAAATTCCCAGCTGACGAATGGTGTCCAGCTTGTGTTCAGCTCAGCTGGCACTCACAACTCATAATAATTGCGTTCTAGACGCCAGATGAGATGTTTCAGCTACAATGTAGACAAAACGTCCGTGTTCAAGAAAGCCGTCACTTCATCTTCTGTCCATCCTCAATAGCACGGTCAAGCAAATACGTCTGAAACACAGTAGCGACAATCCGACAGCGGCGACACGCCGTCTTCTCCGAATGAGCTAATTCTACCGTTGTAATTCAGATTCCCCCAAAAATGTCGAAATAAATAATAGATTTCCACCAAGCTCGCTAGAATCTTGCGAACCGTCAACATGCAGGCATTTCAAGTGTTCGAGCGTGCGTAGATTCTGCTCAGCGGCTCAAGAACATTCGCCAAGCGAAAAAAGTCGATGAGAAAGATGTAATGGTGGACGAAATTACGAAAATCGGAAGAAGGTATTCGACCCAGTTCGACTATCCTGGACTGGATTGGCAACGTCCAACAAACGGATTCGTATTCTATGGGGTCTCATGAGCTAGTGTGCCAAAGGGCGTTTAGTTGGAGCTTCAGTGCATCACCTTCGCCGAAAGAGGCCCTTTCTGAGATTTGGCCGATGGACTACAGTGATTTGCATGCGCTGCGCTGGGCCATCATCATCATCATGCATAGCATGGCTCGGGCCTGATGCCAGCTGCATGCAGCACTGATGCCAGTACTGATGGGGTTGGAATGTTATGTGGTACTTCACGCATTCCTGTCAACATTCCACACACACATACAAACATTCCTGGTGCAGTGGTTGTGAATCGCGTGACCCGAGCACTTCCAGGCCAGGCCAGAAAAAATAGGATCGTCTGTACGGACCAGTAGTACATACATGTCGGTAGACTGCGACTGTTGCAGTTTTCAAGCACACATTCCTGCGATTCTTTGTAGCTGAACAGACTCATGGTCCTAAGTATAATACAAGACAGGCTATAAATGGACAGAAACAAACTACTAGTATGTACAATTGCTTCCAGGCCCATGACAATGATTTCCCAGGGACCCTTTTCACAAGACAATCATGTACGACGTTCGTACATGCAGCAGCTATGAAGCACATAATTATGATTATTGTGCCCCTACTGCATTGTACTTGTATTGCACTTCAGAACATGCATGGATAGCCTCCAATACAAGGCACTTGCACACACGCACACACACACACACACACAACACACACACACACACACACACACACACACACACACACACACACACACACACACACACACAGTGACACACACACACACACACCATTTGACGCCCATCGCCAGAGACGATGATAGCGATGCCTCAGCAGAAGCCATAGCAGCTTGTGCTGGGACTGCACCATTCAACAGTTTGCAAGACTGAAGAATTGACCGCCACTATTCAGCCTGAGGGTAACAAGAATGCAGTTCACAGGGTTATGGGCCGTTACACGCCCAATTGGTTGAGAGACTCACCTACTCTCCCCTGACTCAGTTGTGAAGTCTGCATTTGCCACTAAGGTGTACAAGGCATAGGCATAGTGGTTGCCTGCGGAAGCGAAGGCTAGTTTGTGTGTTTCTGAACATTCAAGCCATGCCAACGCGAATCCAGCGGATTATTATTATTATTTCGTAATAAGTATTCGAATGCAACGACGCAAATCCACACAATTCAGTAGACACTTCTTTTCTATCAAACGTTTTCTTTCCCTGAACGTTTGATAGAAAAGAAGTGTCTACTGAATTGTGTGGATTTGCGTCGTTGCATTCGAATACTTATTACGAAACTGTTTTCCCACCGCCTCCAAACTACTGTTTGAATTATTATTATTATTATTATTATTATTATTATTATTATTATTATTATTAGTCAAAGGTATTTGCGTGTATTGGAGTCTATTTACATTTTTACCACTAAGCCGATTTTGTGTAGGCAGAAAAAGAATTTGTTTACGTTGAAACTGTTTGTGAATTTAGATCAGTAGTTCTCGTTTGTGGTTGCATGGTAACTTTCTAGTGGTGAATTTATCGCATCTGTTGTCACCTGATATCGTTGAATGGTGTAATGTTTCTTTCAGCTCTCATTTTATCGCGCTAGTTAGGGTCTAAATTATTACTTGCATTGTGCGTATATATATTGAGTTAGGAGCTTTTGTTGATTTGCCAGTAATCCTCTGATGAGATGGCGACGAAAACGTTTAGGAACAAGCTTCTTTATTTACATGAAAACAAGTTTTGCTTATGGTGTTTGTACTGAGTGCGCAGCTTACTCTATTTATTGCGTTGATTACATTTTTATCTCCACGGAAGCTTTTTAATTATTATTATTATTAATTTTATTCAGCCTGGTCTACACCACACAGCTATGAAGTGGCTTTTTCTGGCCAGTGAATCCCTACTTTTTGGTCTCACACACACACACACACACACACACACACACACACACACACACACACACACACACACACACACACACACACACACACACACCAGGCGCGTACGCAGGGGGGGGTTTCCCGTTGCCCGGAAACCCCCCAAATGTTCCAAACGAGCAACGTTTTTTGGGCTTTTTTGGTAGGGCGCACGATCGATCTGGCAAGAATGCGAAACTTCAACAGATCGTAACTCAGTCAAATCTCGTTCTAATCCAACGATCCTAATATCCAGGTCGAATAGAAAACTCTCAGCTGTCGGTTGAAACAATTTGTGACGCGCTGCGAGCTATGTCTCTTGAGATAAATCATTTGTAAGTTGAGCCGCGATCTCGGCAATTTCAAAATCGCGCAGAGCGACTTGAGTATCGAGAATTTGAGACTTTTCGTCACCCTGACTTACTCAAATTTCCAAGGGCTTCACTGCACTTGTGATATTTTCAAGAGTAGATCTACACAGCAAAAAATCTAAAGTTTGCGATCAAGAAAAACGAAATCGCTGGAGCAGGACGGGTTTGGGCCTTTGGGGCATTTTTCCCATCGTCGCTGCACAGCACTCCACCGCTATCGCTGGATATGTACATGACTGTACTGTGTCCTGGCTATCATGGTCGACCTCATTCTCTCCCTGGTACCTTTCCACTTCCAGGAAGCCCAAGATAATGAAGATTGAGAGAGTAGAACCGAAGTTATGATCAAAAGAACACGAAAAAATGTATAATTTTCAAAATTTCCTAGGGCTCTTTACAAAGGGTTAAAACTCATTCTTTGGGATTCAGTTGGAAACTCCCCTGGAGGTGACCCTGCGTACGCGCCTGCACACACACACACACACACACACACACACACACACACACACACACACACACACACACACACACACACACACACACACACACACACACTCACATACACACGCACACACACACACACACACACACACACACACACACACACACACACACACACACACACACACACACACACACACACTCCATACACAAAAACATCATCTGCAGTTGTGTGTGTGTGTGTGTCCATGCGGTATTCAACACATCAGCAGAAATATCATGCCAATGACAATGGTATGCACGTGAATAGAGAGGAAGATTCCTCAAAAATCAATAAAATTCAATTATTATTAATTTTTGCCTTTGGCATACTGAGAGTGAGGAAAGTGAGCTACAGTGTTAAGAGTTTGAGCACTGCAGCAGGGTTTTCATCAATACGCATGCTTAAAACTATGACTATCTATAGCGCTATGCACAGGTGGATGACCATGGCCAGAAGGCAAATACTGGCACCAGACAATGGCAGAACATTGTCAGGCCGCGCAATCGGAATGAAAATCATTTAGAATAATTCTATGGATCAATAATTCATCAGCTGCTTTTGCATGTAGTACATACATGTACATGTAGATGCATGGTTGCGTGGGGTCCTCTGCAATGGTGCTGCTGCAAAGAACCTATGCACGTTCATGTCCAGGAATCTGCACCTCACTCACACATGCACACTCACACAGGCACACTCACACAGGCACAGGATTAGACGACTTGCATGCATGCCTATCCTAACCAACCTAGTGGGCGGCGTGCATGCGGATGCAGGACAGATCTTTCCCTAAAGTTAAACTACTTTCCAGAAGGATGGGTTTGCCATCAATTCGTGTGTGTGTGTGTGTGTGTGTGTGTGTGTGTGTGTGTGTGCGTGCGTGTGCGCATGTGCGTGTGTGCGCGCGTGTGTGTGTGTGTGTGTGTGTGTGTGCGTGTGTGTGTGTGTGTGTGCGTGTGCGCGCGCGTGTGTGTGTGTGTGTGTGTGTGTGTGTGTGTGTGTGTGTGTGTGTGTGTGTGTGTGTGTGTGTGTGTGAATTATAAAAAATCATAGGAAATCTCATGTCATGCACTGCGTATCGGTAGATGCTGGAAGAAGCCATTGACAATGTACATGTACATGTATATTTCAACTACTACTACTAGTAGCAGTAGTAGTAGTTAAACAAGCTTATGACGTCACGCCACAAGTCCAGTATTCGGGGAAAGTCATCACCCGTCGGAAGAGCTAGAGGTACAGTGGTGTATATATGTACAAGGATGAGAAGGGTTGAGAGATCGCCAGGAGAAGGGTTGAGAGATCGCCAGGAGAAGGGTTGAGAGATCGCCAGGAGAAGGGTTGAGAGATCGCCAGGAGAAGGGTTGAGAGATCGCCAGGAGAAGGGTTGAGAGATCGCCAGGAGAAGGGCTGAGAGATCGCCAGGAGAAGACAGGAGGGAAAAGAGCTGAGAGATCGCTAGGAGAAGACTGGAGAGATCGTGAAGAGAAGAGCTCAGGCGTCCCGCGGTGAATACTCAGTACATCATCATGGAGGATGATCCACCATATCCGCTAGCACCGCCACCGCTCCCTCCCTTCTTCTTACCCTTGACGGCCTTGCCCGGTGTGCCCGTAGCAAAGTCGTCCCAATCCGACTCACTGGCTTGGGACGTTCGCTTCTGCTGCTTCTTTCCCTTTGCGTCCTTTTCTCGCGCTTTCCTGGCGTCCTTGGCAGCCTTCTCCGCACGCTTCTGCTCCTCTTTCAGTACCTTCTGACGGTGTTTCTCGGCAGCTGCGTCTTCCTTGGCGCGTTGTTTCTGCCACTCACGGAAGTCACGCTCCTCTCGCTTCTTCGCGTCGGCTTTCTGCTGCTTCTGTCTTCGCTCCTCTTCTGCCTGACGAGTGCTGAATGGAGCTCCTCCACCGCCACCTCCTCCTCCTCCTCCTGCGGATCTGGGCTGGCTCAGGGATGGATCCTCGTATCCTTCATCGTCATAGGCACCACCGTCGGTCTGTTGCTGCTGCGGCAGGGAGTGGTTCGATGGACTGGACATGACGGCGTCCATCAGCTGTCTCTTGTCGCCGTCTTGGTAACCACGCTTGGCCAGTGCTGGTGCCGGTTCCTCGTCATCGTCGAAGAAACTCTCCTGTTGTTGCTGTGCGGCGACGGCTGCCGCGGGCTTTTGCTTCTTGGCCGATTTGTTCGGCATGCTGTACAGATCAGTGTCCGGGTCTTCATCGTCCTGCGCACTGGGGTAGCCATGATTGTCATGGTAACCATGCTGGGCATGAGCTGCCGCCGCTGCTGCTCCTCCGTCATCATCGCCACCGTTGTAGTCGTCGTCGAAGTCGTCGTCTCCACCGAAGTGTGTTTCGCCCTCGTTCTCCTCGTCCGGGTACTCTAGCGGGTTGAAGTGAGCCTGCGGGTCCGGCTCTGCGGGAGTATAATCACCACCGCCATCGTCTTCACCATCATCGTATGCAAAGGACGTGTCAGTCCGTTCCACCATCTTTGACTTTGGTCTGCGGGAGAGAAAGTGAGAAAGAAAAGAAAGCGAGAACGAATTATTAAAGAAAAGCATGCAGCCTTCGTTTGGACAAGTCCTGCAATTACTGGTGCATACCCTATATTTTCTATTTATTAATATAAGCACCGTGCTTATATTTTTTCAACACCCCTCTACCCCGTGCTTATACATGTATTGGAGACCGTGCTTATATTTTTTCAACCAATGCATCCATACAGAGCAAGAAGAAATACATGCTAGATATCATGCATGCAGCACTGATTTCCACCAAGACCGTGCTAATAATAGAGACTGTGCTTATAATGTTTCGAAAGGTGCTCACAGTGTGCTAGTATTAGAGACTGTGCTAGTAATGGAGACCTGTGCTTATAATAGAGAATATACGGTACTTGCCAACCATACCGGTTTTCCCTGTACTATACTGGCATACTAGGGTGACTACCGGCATACCGGGGCTTTTTGACTTTGATCGAAAACTACCGGTATTGGCACTGAACCATGAGTGTTCAAATGAAGGTTGTTTTGTCGTGTGACAAGGGCACATGCGGCCCTGCATTTCACAGAATCACACATGTAGGGGGGGGGGGGGTCTGACAATAAAGAAACTCAGGTTTTCGTTCCCCAATAAGCAATGTGTTGGAAATGAATGAAAAATACCACACGTGCAATAGAAGCGCACATCACACATTACACATGCACACCACACATACAGTGGAACCTGTATAAGACGACCGCTCAAGGGACCTTCAAAACGTGGTCTCCGTTACCAGGTGGTCTGCTTATACAGGGTCATTTGACTGGAAATAGCATCCCTTGGTCCTGGTATCAGTGGTCTTCTAGGACAGGTGGTCGCCTTATCCGAGTGGTCGCCTAGACAGGTCTTACTGTACAACAGGTCACACACTCCAGCACTCACTTCTCAGGCGGACGTACGACTTTAGGCGAGTCGTGATACTGAGCAGCTTGGACGTTGCTCACAACAGCCGCTTTCCGTGCTGGCTGCTCAACCGTATACCTATCGTCATCCCTGGAGGTCAGGCGAGTGCGATCATCACTATCGTCATGGTGACCAGCTCTAGCGTCATCATCGTAGTCATGGTGACGGGATGACTTGCTTGGATGCTTGGCTTCAGTGTGTTTGGGTTTGGCTGTTGTGGAGGTGGCGACTTGGCTTGAGGCGGTCTCTCCCTTCCAGTCATTCTCGGTGTCATACAGGGAGTCGCCTGCATGCATGGTAGACAAACACACAAACACACACACACACACACACACACACACACACACACACACACACACACACACACACACACACACACATACATCAGAGTAACATCACAATAACGCTATGCACTGGTATGTGTTCATATGCCTGCAGTTATCCAGAGGGTAAGGTTTTCACAGACAGAAGAACGAGCAGTTGCTGTGTCGTCGTAATTCCTCTCTTTTTCCCTTCGGCAAATTGAGCCCTCTACGGGCGGTGGATAAACCACACATGGAGGGTAAAGTTCCCTTAGCTTCGACCATCATACTTGTCTGTGACTGACAGGTAGGTGTGGGTGTACTGTACTTGTATGATTAGTACCCCTGGGGCATTAATTTTTCGATGTCCATCACAGATGGGGCACTACTCGGTATTCAAGAGAGGGTACTATTCAAGAGAGGGCACTATTCAAGAGAGGGTACTATTCAAGAGAGGGTACTATTCAAGAGAGGGTACTATTCAAGAGAGGGTACTATTCAAGAGAAGGCACTATTCAAGAGAGGGTACTATTCAAGAGAGGGCACTATTCAAGAGAGGGTACTATTCAAGAGAGGGTACTATTCAAGAGAGGGTACTATTCAAGAGAGGGTACTATTCAAGAGACAAAGGGCACTATTCTTTCAATGCTGGTACATGTTTCGCAATCCAGCATAAAAGAAACAGGGAAGGCAAAGAAAACACAGAGCCTAAAGTTTACTCATAACCATGTATAAACAATTAAAATGAAACAATTCCAGAACGTTTTCGTGTGACCATCATCAGTGGAACATCGTCACATAGTAAGAATCACTAAAACAACCAGTTATATAGCTAGAGTAACATGAAAAGAAGCGTGAGAATGCAGCACAGCTAGCGGTAATGCATAACGCGTGTAGTGTGAACCTTTGCAGTGTATCTGAGAATGGTAGCAGTAGATGAATGTGGCAGCTGTGAGTGCGTGTGGACAAAAAACTGGTAATGTTGTAGCACTCACACTTTTTAAATAATACGCACTCACCAGTTTTTTGTCCACACGCACTCACAGCTGCCACATTCATCTACTGCTACCATTCTCAGATACACTCAAAGGTTCACACTACACGCGTTATGCAAAACCGCTAGCTGTGCTGCATTCTCACGCTTCTTTTCATGTTACTCTAGCTATATAACTGGTTGTTTTAGTGATTCTTACTATGTGACGATGTTCCACTGATGATGGTCACACGAAAACGTTCTGGAATTGTTTCATTTTAATTGTTTATACATGGTTATGAGTGCACAATTGATATTTTTTCATTGCTATTTTACGACTGTTGTCTCCTCGTCGGTTACCTAAAGTTTACTGTAAACTATCACGACTGAACAGAAACGACAACAAGAACTGTGATTTTGATCCTGAAATCACCAGTGGAGTGACATGGACAAGAACATTTATTATACAGCAAAAGAACGCCAAACTTGCACATGCGCTTGGTTACAAGCCAGGGGGAGGCACAATTCAAGATAGGGCTTTATTTTTTTTTCATTGGCTCTCAGAAACAGGGGCACTATTTAAGAGAGGGCTCTAATCCCGCATATACGGTATAACAGTATATAGTGCTGCTGAATTATATCCAGTAGAGTCACTCGGGTACACGCCGCGCATTGCGCAGCCCTAGACCTGCAAACACTGGGCTGAGAAATGGTGCAGGGCGCAACACTGACTCGTGCGAGCGGATTTCATTGAGCCGCATTGCATATGTGTGCGCGCGCGTGTGTGTGTGTGTGTGTGTGTGTGTGTGTGTGTGTGTGTGTGTGTGTGTGTGTGTGTGTATGTCTGTGTGTGTGTGCGCGTGCACGTGTGTGTGTGTGTGTGTGTGTGTGTGTGTGTATGTGTGTGTATGTGTGTGTGTGTGTGTGTGTATGTGTGAACTTACGTTTGGTTGACTTGCGATGGTTCTGAATCAGCAAGAATAGGAGTATGATGATAAGAAGTCCGCACACAGATCCCACCACTATGCCAGCCACACTACCTGCTGATGTGCCCTCGTCAGTTGTAACAGCTAAACAAGAACACACAGAGAGCACACAACGCATGGTGGCCTTGCTTCCTGGATGGGATGGGTTTCTGAATACCTCTCCCAGGTCAGTGTAGATACTGAAGATATGCTCAAGTAGGCTAGCGTAACTATGCTGTCATGCCGGGAAGCAGGGGCCTCACATGGCAGTGAGGTGTGGTACGACCGGGGGGGGGGGGGGGGGGGAGATGTATCCCTGAGGCAATTATGGGGTTTTTCCACCGACAGAACATGTTTTAGCGCTCTACACGTGCTCCGGGCACACCGTCCTGGACGAAATGGGGGGTACGGCCATTGTCGTACTGGTTGTACTGTGTGCTACGCCCCTGGGAATAATGCGTATGGTACGACTCACCTAATGTCTGAGCAGCCACAACCGTCGAGTTCGGACCACGGCCTGCATCGTTGTACGCTTGCACTTTGATATCGTATGACACGCCGGCCTTTGGTGAGTCCAGCCTCTGTAGATACCGCCTATCCTCGCTTGGCCCCATATCGGCTGGGGCTGTAACCTGGTACAGGGACAAGGAACAGTACAGAGTACACAGAGTAAGGATTGTTATGCAAAGTGTTTTTAATTATTTGGTCCGTCTAATAGTAGTAATAGGTTTTTTTTCATTTGACCCGACCAGACCCAACAACGCTTGCAGACCAAAGCACGAACAGTTCACCAGCCACACTCCACGAAAGCAAGTAGTATTACTCCTGACAAGTCTTGTTTCGTTCCATATATTAAAAGATACCGGGAACTCATCAGAGGAGAAGCAGTTGTTGAATGAAGGGGCTAAGCTGAATAATGAATAGTGTTTTTGCCTGATGATCGTGGAAGCGAGAAACTCTGAGTGGCAATAACATTTTATTCCACTTTACTTATAAGGAAGCTCTGCACTTTCCGGCATTGGGGACTTCACCTCAGTGGTAGCAACTGAAATCCGATCCCTGATCTTTGTGCTGGAGTGCAGTACCGATTCTAGCGGTCTCCATTCTGTAGTGTTGCACTCCCGTGCTGGGTGTTTGCACTCTGTAGTGTAACAATCCCATGCTGGGTGTTTGCAATGTGAGTGCACCGCTCCAGTGGTCGGATTTCGGTTGCCAGCACTTGACTTCGTCGTTGCACATAACCATACCAGTAAAACCGTAAAAGTCCGTAAATAAGTACGTATTTACTTTCGAATTTAGTGACCACACCCGTACTAACTTTCGGGTGGGTACTGACTTCCGGGCACGAACTAAACTTTCGGACCTGACTTGTGTGTAGCGGAGAAGGTCATTTTCATGTCGATGTACATGCTACGTGCTGCATGTGTGCACCGTACCGGTACTTATTTCGGGCAGTATGTTTATCGGGCTTGACTTGACTTCAACAGACAGAGCCAAAAGAATGAAGGGGGTATTTCTTTCGAGCAGGTACTTATTTACGGACTTTTACGGTAGGTAAACGCATACAGAGAGAGAGAGAGAGACAGAAGCAGGAAGACAGGCAGGCAGGCACACTCTCACTTGCACACAGACATGTACATTGAGACTGCCATGGTGTGCTGTATACATGTAGCATCCTTTTACTACTTCAAGTGAACAAACACAGTTGTTTAAGTAAGACTCGGATGGAGAGCCAAGGATTAAATTTAATGTAAAAGAAAGGGCCAAAATGTTCATAGCTAGTAACATATGTAGGTCCTTTTCTTTTTCCAAACGGCCAAAATGTTACTTCTTACCCGTTCTGGCTACACAACATCTTGCTTATACAGTAAAACCGGTGACTAACGACCACCCCTTGGGGTCAGAGAAAGCGGTCTTTAGTGGCAGGTGGTCCTTAGTTGGAGGTTTGCACCGCACAACCATGTATGCATGTGAGACCGTCCGTGCCTGGCGCAGTGGCCTTTAGTAGCAGGATGGTCTTTAGTTACAGTAAAAGCTGTCAAGGCGACCGCTCGGATAAGGCGACCACCTGTCCTAGAAGACCACTGCAGCCGGGACCAAGGGATGCTATTTCCAGTCCAATGAACCTGGATAAGGGGACCACCTGGTAACAGAGACCACCTTTTGAAGGTCCCATGAGCGGTGGTCGTCTTAGACAGGTTTCACTGTACAGCTTTTACTGTGTAACCGTTAGTGTTGGACACACACTACGGATAACATGTAACATGTTGGTCCTTTCATTTACATTTGTTTAATTAAGGGTGTTTTATCACAACTCTCAGCCTCTTCTTACCCATTCATAGTTTTCCAGAGTCTTCTCCGTGACTCTGTAGTAGACTGTGAATCCGAGTAAGCGTCCCCGCACAGATGACGGTGGTGGGGATAGCCAGGACACAATGATACCGTTCTCTGCATCTACCTCAGTCGTTACGTTCACCGGTGCTAGCAATGGAGCTGTGGATGGAATAACAAAAAGGAAGAACTGTATTGTTGGGTGGTTGACATTCCGCCATTGTGTGTGTGTGTGTGTGTGTGTGTGTGCGTGTGTGCGCGCGCGCGTGCGAATGTGTGTGTGTGTGTGGGGGGGGGGGGGTCGTGTGTTATCGTGCCGATCAGTTTAGAAAGAAAACACTTGTGGCTACGATCAAACCAGACGAGTATGAGCATTTGACCCAAAGATATGCGGAGAGAACTCTGACGCAAAATCCAAAGCTGTCTATCAACATGAGTGATCGTTTAAGGCAGAAATCTATTATTTTGAGTGTGAAGTGAGCATGCTCAACACATACATGCCAAGCTAAATGACAACAGATCACTTACGCAGCTCTCCCGTAGTCATGAGAACCGGCTGACTGGTGGGCCCCGGTTGGCCTACCCCGCCGTCACACGTTGCCCTGGTGCTGGCCTGGACCGTGAAGCTGTACTCGGTGTACACGTGCAGCTCCATGGCGACTACAAACATGTCCTGAGTTGCCATGGTGACACGGGGAATCGAGCCGTTACTCGGCACATCCCATGTGACCTAAGAATTGGGAAAGCAAAGAAAACGTCAAAGAACCCGGTGGGAACATGTTGTTCAAGAACACGGTGGAAAGAACACGGTGGAAACATGTTGTTCTCTCTATTTCTGTTCCTAAATTAGTTAATCTGAATTCTTTCTGGGCAATATCTGGGTCTGGATAGCACCGTAAAGTACCGTTGATCCACCCCCTCTCTAATTGCCGCCCCCTCTCTAATTGCCGCCCCCTCTCTAATTGCCGCCCCCTCTCTAATTGCCGCCCCCTCTCTAATTGCCGCCCCCTCTCTAATTGCCGCCCCTCTCTAATTGCCACCCCCTCTCTAATTCCCGCCCCTGTCAATTTTCTACCTGTGAAGCGACTTCGGCGTATACAACGAAATACGATGTTGATCCGACGCATGCACTGCTGTACACAATACGTGCCAGTGCAGGATGAGAACGTGCACAATCCAGCACATCGAGTCTGAACTTCCACGTTGTTGTACGTCGTATTGCACTTGACAGCCTTGATCTAATTCCCGCCCCCTGCTGAAACCCAGCTGGGAAGCGACATGACGTTTGTGTGTGTGTGGGGGGGGGGGGGGGGGATCAACGGTACTTTACGGTACTGCCAGCATTTCCAACTGGAAAAGTCTGTGCAGTAATTTGTGCAGAGTGCACTGTTGTGGCCATTGAAACCCGCTGGAATGACCGGGGCTGGGGCTAGCGCATACAAGCACCGTAGTGCTAGTGCACACAAGCACCGTAGCTCACGTATACACTGCAAAGATGGAACAGCAGTGCTCGCGGCTGAAAGTCCAGCGCCCCGTGTCCGCTTGACCCCTCAATGTCCACACCAGGGAGTTCACGCCACTGCAGACCACTTCAGCAGGTAATCTCCAGTCTTTAGAGTCTATAGTCTATAGTTTTTAGTTTACTAGGTGCTGGGGTGCTGGGGTGGTGCACAACACGTGATGTATAACCCACCGCTTCAAAAAAACCACAGAGATAAGTGCTTGTGTGTGTGGGGGGGGGGGGGGGGGAGATTTGTGTGTATGTGTATATGTGTGTGTGTGTTGGGGGGGGGGGGGGGGTGAGGGGTGATAATATTATCCAGTCATGGCAATGACAGTGGGAAAATCATTATCCACACTGAACATGATGATGACTACAATCATCGTCATGGTAACACAAATTAGCATTGCTAGACAGATTCGACCAATCATCACACAGCAACACAGCAACACAGCAACACAGCTTACCAAGTAAGTTGCAACTGGTCCAGTTGCCGGAATCGGTGCTGACCAAGTGATGTTGAACGTTGTGATGTTCAGTGTGGTGATAGTCATCTGTGGTGCAGATGTAGGGGCTAGCATGTCGAGTATACACACACACGCACGCACGCACGCACGCACGCACGCACGCACGCACGCACGCACGCACGCACGCACGCACGCACGCACACACACACACACACACACACACAGAGAAACACACACACACACACACCGGTCTTCCGAGGATCGTTCAGCACATCATTGCTTCCCCGCCTCTCAACTCTCACTAACATGGACGTGTCCTCAACGACTTTTCACTCCACCGCCATTTACACTCTTTTCTTTCAGGAACTTTGGTCTCATTCACGGAACCCATCCTCCCAAAGACTCTTCGATCAGCCCCATTAAAACTCCCCTTGAATCCCCCTGCACTCCTCAGTCCCACTGGCATCACCAGCCCTCCATGCATGACCCCACCCCCAATCCTCTCCTCCACTACACGCAGTGAATCACCCACATCACACTCACCTCTACTGCACATAGTGAATCACCCACATCCCACTCACCTCTACTACACGTAGTGAATCACCCACATCCCAGGCGCGTGCCCCGTATGGGTTCCTGGGTGCCCGGAACCCCCCTTCTTTCACTCAAAATGCAGGATTTTGCTTCACTTTTTGAAAATTTTCCCGGGGGAGGCCCCCCCTTGAAGGGCACCGGCGCACGCGCCTGCATCCCACTCACCTCTACTACACGTAGTGAATCACCCACATCCCACTCACCTCCACTATACACGTAGTGAATCACCCACATCCCACTCACCTCCACTATACACGCAGTGAATCACCCACATCCCACTCACCTCCACTATACACGCAGTGAATCACCTACATCCCACTCACCTCCACTATACACGTAGTGAATCACCTACATCCCACTCACCTCCACTATACACGTAGTGAATCACCCACATCCCACTCACCTCCACTATACACGTAGTGAATCACCCACATCCCACTCACCTCCACTATACACGCAGTGAATCACCCACATCCCACTCACCTCCACTATACACGCAGTGAATCACCCACATCCCACTCACCTCCACTATACACGCAGTGAATCACCCACATCCCACTCACCTCCACTATACACGCAGTGAATCACCCACATCCCACTCACCTCCACTATACACGCAGTGAATCACCCACATCCCACTCACCTCCACTATACACGTAGTGAATCACCCACATCCCACTCACCTCCACTATACACGCAGTGAATCACCCACATCCCACTCACCTCCACTATACACGCAGTGAATCACCCACATCCCACTCACCTCCACTATACACGCAGTGAATCACCCACATCCCACTCACCTCCACTATACACGCAGTGAATCACCCACATCCCACTCACCTCCACTATACACGCAGTGAATCACCCACATCCCACTCACCTCCACTATACACGCAGTGAATCACCCACATCCCACTCACCTCCACTATACACGTAGTGAATCACCCACATCCCACTCACCTCCACTATACACGTAGTGAATCACCCACATCCCACTCACCTCCACTATACACGCAGTGAATCACCCACATCCCACTCACCTCCACTATACACGTAGTGAATCACCCACATCCCACTCACCTCCACTATACACGCAGTGAATCACCCACATCCCACTCACCTCCACTACACATAGTGAAAGCACTGGTCACTGAGGCAGGACTGGGCCCCACGGCATTGCACACCCACATCCCACTCACCTCTACTGCACGTAGTGAAAGCACTGGTCACTGACGCAGGACTGGGCCCGACGGCATTGTACACATGTACACGGAATAGGTACCCGGTATGCGCCTGCAGACCAGTAGCATTGTACACTGTCCTCACGCCCAGCCAGACGGGAGTCGTAAAGTTAGTACTTCCAGCCTCGGCCCTCTCCACGGAGACGTTGGTGATGACGCTGCCTCCGTTTGATCCGAAGCTCCAGCCGATTTCAACGCTTGATGACGTTCTGCTGCGTTGAACGACAGGTGATAGTGATGGAGGAACTGAGAATATACGATTCACACACAAACAAATTGACAACTGAGAATACAAACAACATTATTTTATACATGCCTTTTTCTGATTTCTTCTCCAGTGCATGATTTATTGCATTTAAAACCATTGCGTTAATTTGCCCGTAAAAGAGGCCTAATTCGATTTGTGAAAAGAAAAGAAAGTGGTGACGGTGGATGTAAAAAAAAGAGAATACAAACAAGTACATGATATGCATGCAAAAGCGCTGATCCCCGGGGAGCTGCAGAGAGTGCTCAATGTCAGAGACAGAGCTTAGCACATAGCAGACTCAGCGGAGGACGTTCAGGTTGGTTGTAACTCTGAGTTTCATGCCGCTGGGCAACCATCAGCCAACTGATACTCAGATCTACCCAGCAGTATGATATTCACACATAGAAATTATGTCATGTGTGTGTGACATGTATAACAAAGCTGCGTGAGGCGTCTTTCCCATTGTTTACAAAATTTGTTTTCCCTCAAACTTATGAATTGTTTGTTTGTTTGTTTGTTTGTTCGTTTATACTGAAGTAGAAGAAAAAAGGACCAAGGAACTACAAGTTACGCTATAATGTCCACTAACACCACCAGTTACTAAACAATCACTTTTTTTCTTCTACTCAAGTCTGTGGACAGGAACTGTTTCGCTCTATTAGAGCTCATCAGCACAGCTCAGAGGACTGAAGCACAGCTCTTTGCAATGAAATACGTTTCCGTGAAGCAAAGCATTTTTATAAAGAGCTGCAAACCCCGCCAAGAGTGCTCGAAATGCTGCAAGAGCAGTGAGCAGTGAGTTTTTTCTTCTATATATTAATCCTTGGCTCTCCATCCGAGTTTGTTTGTTTATTTTTATTTACTTCACCAAAATGAACAGGCATGTTATGCCTTCTGAGCCGGTGAGAAGGTGTATGGCAGGTAGGGCAGGCATGGCCAGGTATGGCAGGTATGGCAGGTAGGGCAGGTATGGCAGGTATGGCAGGTATGGCAGGTATGGCAGGTATGGCAGGTATGGCAGGTAGGGCAGGTATGGCAGGTATGGCAGGTAGGGCAGGTATGGCAGGTATGCCAGGTATGGCAGGTATGGCAGGTAGGGCAGGTAGGGCAGGTATGGCAGGTATGCCAGGTATGGCAGGTATGGCAGGTATATGGCAGGTATACGGCAGGTATACGGCAGGTATGGCAGGTATCTCACCTTGTACTGTAAGGATGGCAGTGGATACAGCACTGCCGGCTGCAGTCTGCACCGCACACACCCAGTTGCCATCACGCTGAGGTGTGACGTTGATCAGGAGCAGCCGATCGCGTTGCTCGCCCAGCAACAGACTGGTGCTGGTGTTGGTGATCTGAGTGACGCCGAAACCCCACGTAACCACGGGCAGCGGTTTCCCCGTCACTCGGCACACCAGCGTGAGGTTGGTGTTGACGTGAGCGGCTATGCTGGAGAAACCGGGAGTGAGGATCTCGGCAGTCGGCCTCACTGTTACCATAACAACCAGAGTAGAAAAATATTTTCTGTTTCAGGCCAAGAAGGGTGCATACGATTAACAAAGATAGAAATGTTTGCACTGAAGATGTTGTTCAGAATGACGAAACGTCTGGAAAAGTATCTTTTAAAACACTTCCATCTTGTTAGTCATACCAGAGGATGTACCCAGTGTGCTGACAGTGCTCAACACCATGGCGGAGGCAGAGCGTAATACAGAATAGAACAACAAGGACAATCAAGGCTTGTTTGCTGCTACTTAAAGGTGCATACTTTCGCAATCATCAGGCAACCCTCTGTCTTGTTCATCATATGCACCTGTTGCTCAAAAAATGGACTTGATTATACAATACGAGTGGCTAATCAATGGCTTGTCCACCACTTCCCATGAAAAAGAATGCGCACATTGTAGAAAACTTGCAAAGTCCTAGCAGAAACCTCCACACTGTTTCACAACAGATAACAGAGTGGCCAGTGGGGGAAACAGTTCACCATTCCATTCCCTGTTCCCCATGGCTGGGATTTCGAGATGCCGCTTTTATTCCAGAATAGATGGTACTTATGCACCCTCCCCCCCCCCCCCCCCCCATGTTCAGCAGGCCCGCCAGACCCGGTCCGGTTGGTCAGGTTATAACCGGACCAACTTTGTGGCCACCAGCATAATTTTCTGTGGAGGGCATGTCTACCCGCCATATCATACACAAACTGTATGAAAGGCCATGGTACTACCGGACCAGTCAAAACCTGCTTCCGGCTGTGCTGTTCAGTACCCCATCTGCATGAAGCAGTACCCAGAGCATTACACCAAGCAGTACCCAGTGCAATACAGCAAGCAGTACCCAGTGCAATACAGCAAGCAGTACAGCAAACAGTACCCAGTGCATTACAGCAAGCAGTACCCCGCGCATTACAGCAAGCAGTACCCCGAGCATTACAGCAAGCAGTATCCAGAGCATTGAGGAGACCTGAGTACGTCCAATACCCCGAGGCTCACACTAAGCCGTACCCAGAGAGTGCATTGAGGAGACCTGAGTCTTACCCTGTACAGTCAGTGTAGCCATGGCAGACATCTTTCCCACACTGTTCATGGCTGTGCACAAGTACTGTCCTTCATCGTCTACCGTGCTCCCGGGAATAGCCAGTGTTCCCGTCGGTGATATGCCGTAGCGACCAGTTACAGGCAGTGCTGTTCCGTTGCCATAGCTCCAGCCAATGACGGGTGCTGGATCACCGGCGCTAACGACGCAAGGCAGGAATGCCACCGCTGGGCTGATTACGGTGAGGTCAGATGTTGAAATAGTCGGCGGTTCTGTGCCAAAACATACACGCATGCACACGTGTACACACACGCACAAACACACACATACACACACACACACACACGCACACACACACACGCACACACACGCACACACACACACACACACACACACACACACACACACACACACACGCACACACACACGCGCACACACACACACACACACACACGCACACACGCGCACACACACACACACACACACACACACACACACACACACACACACACACAGGCATGTAATCCTTACCGTCTGCACATGGTCAGACGCGGAAACACATGAAAGGGAGCAGATTTTTGTGCATACATCCATATGCACTCGTTTAACAAATTACTGTAGCTGCTGCTGATGATGCTGCCACCGCTACAGTCTCCGCAGCTGCTGCTGCTGCTGCTGCTTATGCTACTGATGGCACTGAGGCTGCTGCTGCCGCCGCTGCTGCCGCCGTCGCTACTGTTGTTTGTGCTAGTCGCAGTGTTGGAGCTTTAACACAGAATACAGCCAGACCTCGCTTAACCGCACACATCCGTTTTCCACGAAAATATCCGGATAGGCGAGGGAACCGGATAATCGAACACACATACTGTATGACTGCATGGCATATGACGCAAATCGGTAACCAACGATTTTCTTCCGGATGGCGAGGGATCCGGATTAAAGAGGAGCGGATAAGCGAGGTCTGACTGTACTGGCTTTCCTGGAAATGTTCAAACTTTCAAACACAACTAAACACGTAACCATGACGTGTACTGCACTTACCTAGTACATGCAGTCTAACAGTTGCCGTGGCAACACCAGCACTGCTGTTGGCATAGCAAGTGTATGCACCATCATCCACAGCCTTGGTGACAGTTTGAATCATTAGTGTACCGGTTGGGCCTGTAGGGGAACATGATGTATGAAAGAGAGGGAGAATGAGGGCAGGGAGAGAGAGAGAGAGAGAGAGAGAGAGAGAGACGGAGAGAGAGAGAGAGAGAGAGAGAGAGAGAGAGAGAGAGAGAGAGAGAGAGAGAGAGAGAGAGAGAGAGAGAGAGAGAGGAAGAGAGAGAGAGAGGACCGGAAAGACACACACTGTTCTCTTGAACTTGAAGCCTACATTAGCACGTAATAAATCTTGCAAAAGCATTCATATCCTTGCCTTGGTGGACACGTCCCCCGGATGCACCTAGCTGGAATGAGGTAAGCAGTCTGCCGTTCCGCAACCACAGGACGGTTGGCATGGGAATGCCAGTCGCTGCACAGTACAGCGTTGCCGAGTTGCCCTGGTTAACCGTGGTCGGTGTGGGTTGAGTGGAGAATGACGGTCGAACTGGCATAGAAAAGGACACACAGAATATGCATTCGTGAGTTTCGCACGTCTAGCGGCCCCAGGGCGCTGGCCATGCAGCCGTGGGTAAGCAGTACACACATGCTGCAGCCCGCTGGTCGCATCGGATCAAGCGCTGTTTTGTACGCGCTGATGGCGCCGGCCCCGGTCAATCGTGTGCATGCATCGGATCAAGCGCTGTTCTGTATGCACTGATGGCGCCGGCCCCGGTCAATCGTGTGCATGCATCGGATCAAGCGCTGTTCTGTATGCACTGATGGCGCCGGCCCCGGTCAATCGTGTGCATGCATCGGATCAAGCGCTGTTCTGTAGGCACTGATGGCGCCGGCCCCGGTCAATCGTGTGCATGCATCGGATCAAGCGCTGTTCTGTATGCACTGATGGCGCCGGCCCCGGTCAATCGTGTGCATGCATCGGATCAAGCGCTGTTCTGTACGCACTGATGGCGCCGGCCCCGGTCAAGCGACTGGATTTCCATGTCCACGACACTAGTATTACGTACTAGAAGGATGACTGGCGAATGTCTCGCGGTCTTTCTGTGCATGCTGAACATTGGTCGAAATGTTTTAAGGGGGTGCACGTGCCGCAGGCAAGCTACACGCCTGCTTGACAACACCTGTGTAAAGTTAGCTATGAACACATACCTAGTACTGTGATCTCGGCGCTGGCGTCTTTCAAAGCCGCTGAGTTCATAGCTTGCACACGACACGTGTATCTGCCGCGCTGGCTGTAGTCGATTCCACCCAGGGTTAGGGTACCGCCGCTAACGGCAACGCCACCAGCAGAGGAACCGTCTCCGCCGTCACCACCACCACCACCGCCACCACTGGTCGTAGTGCTAGTGATGCGTGTGTTGTTCGGATAGTACCACGTGTATGTAAGCACTGCGTTGTCTGCCCGCGCGGCGCACAGCAGACGTACACTGCGACCGGCGATGACTGTGGTGTCCGTCGGATACGTAGTGAAACTGATACGACCTGCAGTGCACACGACCGCATACACACACACACACACACACACACACACACACACACACACACACACACACACACACATACACACACACACACACACACACACACACACACACACACACACACACATGGAAAGGGAGAAGAGAAGGGCACATAATCATGAGATACATAGAAAGACATGACGCCGCGCACCAAGAAATCGTAACAAAACACTGGAAGACGTAAAAAGCACTACTGAAAGCGCGGTACAACTCCCTTTATCCGGGTACATCGGGACCTGACACTGCCGGCAATCACCTTATCCGGGTACATTGAGACCTGACACTACCTGCAATCTCCTTACTCCCATGATGGGTTGTAAGTAAGAAGTGAATGTAATTCAGTGCATACTGGCACAGTCCTGCTGACTGAATTCAAGCAAACATTTCAAACATTTCTTATAGCAATCAATCCGCCTTTTTGTTGGTGTTGTCTTCCATGGAAAAAATGTCTTTTGTGATTCGCGAGGGTCAGAAAGGTGCTTGCCATACCTGTCGATGGGAGTGTTCGGATCTGGAGAGTCCGGAATAGGGGCAGGATTAGGAGGTCTGGAATAGGTGGGGGCAGGATTGGGGGGGGGGGGGTCGGATTAGGTGGGGGCAGGATTAGGAGGAGTCCGAAATAGGTGTGGAGGGGGGGGGGGGGCAGGATTCGGTGGGGGTCCAGAGGGGGACCAGAGGGGATCCGGACCCGAATTTACTGGTAGTTCAGATTAGATGAGGTCTGGATTTTTTGGGTCTGGATTAGGTGGAGGTTCGGAATAGGTGGGGGCAGGATTAGGTGGAGGTTCGGACTAGGTGGGGGCAGGATTAGGGGGGTGGAATAGGTGGAGGTTCGGACTAGGTGGGGGCCGGATTAGGGGGGTGGAATAGGTGGGGCAGGATTAGGGGGTGGAATAGGTGGTGAGAAGGATTAGGGGTCCTGAGTAGGGGTCGAGAGCAGGGGATCTAGAATAGGGGGTTTAGATTAGGGGCCTGGATTAGGAAGGTTTGGATTAGGAAGGTTTGGATTAGGGAGATTTGGATTAGGGAGGTTTGGATTAGGGAGGTTTGGATTAGGGAGGTTTGGATTAGGGAGTTTGGAACTTTGGATTAGGGGTTTGGAACTTTGGATTAGGGGGTTTGGAACTTTGGATTAGGAGGTTTGGAACTTTGGATTACGGGGCTTGGATCAGGGGGTTTGGATTAGGGTCTTGGATCAGGTGGTTTGGATTACCGTATTTCCCCGAATGCAAGTCGCACCTTTTTACACTAAACTTCAAGAGCAAAGAAGGGGATGTGACTTACAATCGAGATTGACATCCTACTTATATGCATGTATTGAAACAATGTGGTTCAAACCCCAAAGTGGGGATGTGACTTATAATCGAGTGCGCCTTACAATCGGGGAAAGACGGTACGGTCTTGGATTAGGCAGATTCGGATTAGGGGGTTTACATTAGGGTCTTGGATTAGGGGGTTTGGATTGTAGTTTGTACACAGTGTCAACAGGCAGGGCTACTTTTCAACCTGTTTATGCCATTCCGAATTTCTCGTCTGTTATGGACCACTGTACACCAAGGTGATAACGCACGAGTTCAAGGTATCGCCAATGACGACAGTGCCACCAGATTCAGTCATTGACAGTTCTTCTTCTTCCTTTTTTCCTTTCTTTGTCTTTTCTTTTCGTTATTTGCAGTCTGTGTTCTTCTCCCTTTCGTGGAGGTTTGTTGTATCCTTGGCTTATGGCCGTTACTTTACGGCCATCATAATATTGGGCATCATATCCCATTAGGTCTGCGATACAAAAATAAAACGTGAACAACATGCGCTGCCGCTCACCAATAACCACGACGGACGCCGACACTGTCTTGGTACCAGCTGCGTTGCTGGCCACGCAGGAATACACGCCGGTGTTCTTGATGTCTGCGTTCACTATCTGCAGCGTGTTGTCGCTGAGTATGGAGATGTGCTGGTTGGTGGTGACCGTACTGTGACCTTGTACCCAGCTCAGCGTTGGGCTAGGCACCCCCATGGCATTGCATGGCAGCATGGCGGATGCGCCCTGGAGAACAGTGATATTGGCCGGTGGTTTCACAAATGTAGGGGTTTCTGCAAGACAGAGACAGTGGGTGCAGTCAACAATGGATTCTGCAAGACAGAGACAGTGGGTGCAGTCAACAATGGGTTCTGCAAGACAGAGACAGTGGGTGCAGTCAACAATGGGTTCTGCAAGACAGAGACAGTGGGTGCAGTCAACAATGGGTTACTGCAAGACAGAGACAGTGGGTGCAGTCAACAATGGGTTTCCGCAAGACAGAGACAGTGGGTGCAGTCAACAATGGGTTTCTGCAAGACAGAGACAGTGGGTGCAGTCAACAATGGGTTCTGCAAGACAGAGACAGTGGGTGCAGTCCACAATGGGTTTCTGCAAGACAGAGACAGTGGGTGCAGTCAACAATGGGTTTCTGCAAGACAGAGACAGTGGGTGCAGTCAACAATGGGTTTCTGCAAGACAGAGACAGTGGGTGCAGTCAACAATGGGTTTCCGCAAGACAGAGACAGTGGGTGCAGTCAACAATGGGTTTCTGCAAGACCGAGACAGTGGGTGCAGTCAACAATGGGTTTCTGCAAGACAGAGACAGTGGGTGCAGTCAACAATGGGTTTCTGCAAGACAGAGACAGTGGGTGCAGTCAACAATGGGTTTCTGCAAGACAGAGACAGTGGGTGCAGTCAACAATGGGTTTCTGCAAGACAGAGACAGTGGGTGCAGTCAACAATGGGTTTCTGCAAGACAGAGACAGTGGGTGCAGTCAACAATGGGTTTCTGCAAGACAGAGACAGTGGGTGCAGTCAACAATGGGTTTCTGCAAGACAGAGACAGTGGGTGCAGTCAACAATGGGTTTCTGCAAGACAGAGACAGTGGGTGCAGTCAACAATGGGTTTCTGCAAGACAGAGACAGTGGGTGCAGTCAACAATGGGTTTCTGCAAGACAGAGACAGTGGGTGCAGTCAACAATGGGTTTCTGCAAGACAGAGACAGTGGGTGCAGTCAACAATGGGTTTCTGCAAGACAGAGACAGTGGGTGCAGTCAACAATGGGTTTCCGCAAGACAGAGACAGTGGGTGCAGTCAACAATGGGTTTCCGCAAGACAGAGACAGTGGGTGCAGTCAACAATGGGTTTCCGCAAGACAGAGACAGTGGGTGCAGTCAACAATGGGTTTCTGCAAGACAGAGACAGTGGGTGCAGTCAACAATGGGTTTCTGCAAGACAAAGACAGTGGGTGCAGTCAACAATGGGTTTCTGCAAGACAGAGACAGTGGGTGCAGTCAACAATGGGTTTCTGCAAGACAGAGACAGTGGGTGCAGTCAACAATGGGTTTCTGCAAGACAGAGACAGTGGGTGCAGTCAACAATGGGTTTCTGCAAGACAGAGACAGTGGGTGCAGTCAACAATGGGTTTCTGCAAGACAGAGACAGTGGGTGCAGTCAACAATGGGTTTCTGCAAGACAGAGACAGTGGGTGCAGTCAACAATGGGTTTCTGCAAGACAGAGACAGTGGGTGCAGTCAACAATGGGTTTCTGCAAGACAGAGACAGTGGGTGCAGTCAACAATGGGTTTCTGCAAGACAGAGACAGTGGGTGCAGTCAACAATGGGTTTCTGCAAGACAGAGACAGTGGGTGCAGTCAACAATGGGCTTCTGCAAGACAGAGACAGTGGGTGCAGTCAACAATGGGTTTCTGCAAGACAGAGACAGTGGGTGCAGTCAACAATGGGTTTCTGCAAGACAGAGACAGTGGGTGCAGTCAACAATGGGTTTCTGCAAGACAGAGACAGTGGGTGCAGTCAACAATGGGTTTCTGCAAGACAGAGACAGTGGGTGCAGTCAACAATGGGTTTCTGCAAGACAGAGACAGTGGGTGCAGTCAACAATGGGTTTCCGCAAGACAGAGACAGTGGGTGCAGTCAACAATGGGTTTCCGCAAGACAGAGACAGTGGGTGCAGTCAACAATGGGTTTCCGCAAGACAGAGACAGTGGGTGCAGTCAACAATGGGTTTCCGCAAGACAGAGACAGTGGGTGCAGTCAACAATGGGTTTCTGCAAGACAGAGACAGTGGGTGCAGTCAACAATGGGTTTCTGCAAGACAGAGACAGTGGGTGCAGTCAACAATGGGTTTCTGCAAGACAGAGACAGTGGGTGCAGTCAACAATGGGTTTCTGCAAGACAGAGACAGTGGGTGCAGTCAACAATGGGTTTCTGCAAGACAGAGACAGTGGGTGCAGTCAACAATGGGTTTCTGCAAGACAGAGACAGTGGGTGCAGTCAACAATGGGTTTCTGCAAGACAGAGACAGTGGGTGCAGTCAACAATGGGTTTCTGCAAGACAGAGACAGTGGGTGCAGTCAACAATGGGTTTCTGCAAGACAGAGACAGTGGGTGCAGTCAACAATGGGTTTCTGCAAGACAGAGACAGTGGGTGCAGTCAACAATGGGTTTCTGCAAGACAGAGACAGTGGGTGCAGTCAACAATGGGTTTCTGCAAGACAGAGACAGTGGGTGCAGTCAACAATGGGTTTCTGCAAGACAGAGACAGTGGGTGCAGTCAACAATGGGTTTCTGCAAGACAGAGACAGTGGGTGCAGTCAACAATGGGTTTCTGCAAGACAGAGACAGTGGGTGCAGTCAACAATGGGTTTCTGCAAGACAGAGACAGTGGGTGCAGTCAACAATGGGTTTCTGCAAGACAGAGACAGTGGGTGCAGTCAACAATGGGTTTCTGCAAGACAGAGACAGTGGGTGCAGTCAACAATGGGTTTCTGCAAGACAGAGACAGTGGGTGCAGTCAACAATGGGTTTCTGCAAGACAGAGACAGTGGGTGCAGTCAACAATGGGTTTCTGCAAGACAGAGACAGTGGGTGCAGTCAACAATGGGTTTCTGCAAGACAGAGACAGTGGGTGCAGTCAACAATGGGTTTCTGCAAGACAGAGACAGTGGGTGCAGTCAACAATGGGTTTCTGCAAGACAGAGACAGTGGGTGCAGTCAACAATGGGTTTCTGCAAGACAGAGACAGTGGGTGCAGTCAACAATGGGTTTCTGCAAGACAGAGACAGTGGGTGCAGTCAACAATGGGTTTCTGCAAGACAGAGACAGTGGGTGCAGTCAACAATGGGTTTCTGCAAGACAGAGACAGTGGGTGCAGTCAACAATGGGTTTCTGCAAGACAGAGACAGTGGGTGCAGTCAACAATGGGTTTCTGCAAGACAGAGACAGTGGGTGCAGTCAACAATGGGTTTCTGCAAGACAGAGACAGTGGGTGCAGTCAACAATGGGTTTCTGCAAGACAGAGACAGTGGGTGCAGTCAACAATGGGTTTCTGCAAGACAGAGACAGTGGGTGCAGTCAACAATGGGTTTCTGCAAGACAGAGACAGTGGGTGCAGTCAACAATGGGTTTCTGCAAGACAGAGACAGTGGGTGCAGTCAACAATGGGTTTCTGCAAGACAGAGACAGTGGGTGCAGTCAACAATGGGTTTCTGCAAGACAGAGACAGTGGGTGCAGTCAACAATGGGTTTCTGCAAGACAGAGACAGTGGGTGCAGTCAACAATGGGTTTCTGCAAGACAGAGACAGTGGGTGCAGTCAACAATGGGTTTCTGCAAGACAGAGACAGTGGGTGCAGTCAACAATGGGTTTCTGCAAGACAGAGACAGTGGGTGCAGTCAACAATGGGTTTCTGCAAGACAGAGACAGTGGGTGCAGTCAACAATGGGTTTCTGCAAGACAGAGACAGTGGGTGCAGTCAACAATGGGTTTCTGCAAGACAGAGACAGTGGGTGCAGTCAACAATGGGTTTCTGCAAGACAGAGACAGTGGGTGCAGTCAACAATGGGTTTCTGCAAGACAGAGACAGTGGGTGCAGTCAACAATGGGTTTCTGCAAGACAGAGACAGTGGGTGCAGTCAACAATGCGTTTACGATGTAGTGTATATTTGTGCTGATTGAAAGGTTCAAAATCCGGGGAAGGGCATGACCTAACAATTTGGATACAATAAGCATTTGATTTTAACCTAGAAACTGTTGCCTTCCTGATTTCTGCCTCTCTCTCTCTCTCTCTCTCTCTCTCTCTCTCACACGCACGCACGCACGCACACACACACACACACACACACACACACACACACACACACACACACACACACACACACACACACACACACATGTGTGCATGGTATGTATGTATGTGCATGGTATGTGTGTGTGTGTGTGTGTGCATGGTATGTGTGTGTGTGTGTGTGTATGCACATTTGTTTGTGCATGCACACATGAGAGCGTACCTTGAACATTGATATACAACGAGCCGCTAGTCATTCCGACGACCGTGCTGAGATCGCAGCGATACTTTCCGCTGTGTGACAGCATGACTGGGCTAAAGGTCAGTGTGGGCGCGGTGCTAATCCGCCGTCCATTGATCCACCACGCTGTGGTTGAGAGTAGTTTAGATGATGGTGAGGTGGTGCATGTCACAGACAGTGATGTACCAGAGGTGACGGTGCGATTTGATAGTGCTGGTGTGATCACAGGTGAGCCTGGGCAGTGAGGAGAGAATTCAGAGTGAGCGTGCACACACAGATACAGACAGACAGACAGACAGACAGACAGACAGACAGACAGACAGACAGACAGACAGTCAGACAGACAGACAGACAGTCAGATAGTTAGTCAGTCAGTCAGTCAGACAGACAGACAGACAGACAGACAGTTAGTCAGTCAGTCAGTCAGACAGACAGACAGACAGACACACACACACAGATAGACAGACAGAAAGACACACATGCAGAATAATAATTATTATACAGACACACAGATAATTATAATACAGACACCTAACACATGACCGTCGCATAAGGAATGATAACTAAAAAGCCATGTTAGACATAGCAACTTGTACAAGCATACACAAAAGTCATTATTTTTATTTTTTTACTATTATTTGCAAACCCAACTCGTAAAATATTCCACACATTCACACATTCACACATACACACATTCACACATACACACATACACACATACATACATACACACATACACACATACACACATTGCATTGTATATTCAGGCTACAGATTGCATTGTAGTACTGTAAAACATGTTTAACGACCAAAAGTTTAACGTTTTTGTAATTTTGGCATGATTACGTGCAGAACGTTTAACGATGGCAACCTGGCCACCCATCTGTAGGCGCATCTTTACACAGACACCTAGCAATAATTTTTTTAATAACGGAAAAAATTGGTCGTTAAAACGTTAGACTTTGTTACTCGTTAGACTTTCCGGTTTTACAGTAGATGCGGATAGCACGCTGAGGCTACGGCTAATCCAACAGTGATCTCTGCTGTAGCACTATGGATGCTGCCAGGAAGTTTATGTCAATGGGATAATCCCATTATGTCTGAGGTATAGGTATCGCATTGTACAGACGCCTTTCATTTGGCACCAATATTTCACCACTATTAACTACCTGCCAACCTGTGCAAACCTGAGATCGGGACAATGACATACCTTATTATTATTATTACTTGCATGTACGCGTTGGAGTCAACCATGCAAGCATGATCCACAACTTCGCTTATGCTGAACATGATAAACAGGACTATGACAGGGGAAAGAAAGTGAGCTAGAACGATGATACAATGATATAATTATCATATACAATGTAGCTCATGGGTATTGAAGATATGTCATTTATGAATATGTCTTTAATTATGTCATTGAATATTGCAGCCTGAGTGATAATAATAGTGCTATTTCCTGAGTTTGACTGTTTCAGGACCTGTCGGAATATCACGATGCACAGATCTTCATGCATAGATCTCGCCATGCGGGTCGGTCATGGGCAATGGCTCGCAGGCTCTGCAGAGCGTCTAAGTTCCCGAGCAATCCGGCATTGGCTTGGCGCAGATCTCCCACCAATGCCTGCGGCAGGGTCGTCCGCGGTCTACCCCTCCAGCATTTCTGTTGCTGATTGGCGAAGTACGCGAACATAGCCATAACAGCTGGAGATTCATCTGCCATCCGCAGGATGTGGCCAAACAGCCTCCAGCGTGATCTCTTGACCATGACACTCAAGGGTTCAGCTTCGCATCTGGCATAGAGAGCATCATTCGGTATTATTTGTGGCCATTTCACACCGATGAGTGACCTTAGCTGACGGCGGTGGAAGGAATCCAGGCGAGACAGAACGGTCACACTGACCCCCCACGTACCCGAGTTGTACGTCAGTACTGGAACAATAAAAGTGCTGTACAGCCGCAGACGCAACTTCTCGCTGATGTGCTGATGCCTCTTCCAGAGGCTCCATAGGGACTGAAATGCTGCAGTCGCCAGCTGTTTTCGTCGCATAATATCCTCTTCGTCGCCCAGCAGCGAACCCAGCTTGCGCGTTGTCCTCCACTCTTCATCGATCCTGTCCGCACTTCTGAAGATGTCCGTATACTCAGTTTTGTCCCGGTTCATGATCAGGGACCACTGTGGTAGCACCGTGCTGGCAGTCGCCTCCACGTCCGCCAGCCAGGACTTTGAGGTGCTGACAAAGTCTGCATCATCCGCATATACAAGTTCGAGCGGCAGACCGTTGTCGCTGAGAGGTCTTGCTGGCACCTCTTGCCTTAGTTGTCGGAGCGCAGCCTCCAGGTAAACCGTGAAGAGAACGGGGGAAAGGCAATCCCCCTGTGGCGTCCCCTTCGTTGTAGCAAATGATTCCGACTGGCACCTCCCAAGCTGAACACGAAGTCTGGTGTTAGAGATCAAGACCCTGATCAAGCGAACGTCATCGTCACTCAGAAACGCCTCCAGAACAGTCAGCAAGGTGTCTCGCTTGATCGTGTCAAAAGCCTTCGACAGATCAATGCCCAACAGGTGAACGGTGCTGTGGTAGCGCTGGGTCTTTGCCACAAGCCATCGATGCGCCCATACCACATCCGCGGTGGATCGGCCAGGGCGGAAGCCGCTGTGCGTCTGGGCTAGGTACTGGTCAACCTTGGGTCTGACTCGAGCTAAAGTGAGGAGTGACAGGGTCTTCCGCAGCGTGTTGAGAAGAACTATCGGACGTAAATTTGATGGTGGTCCCAGCGGCTTGTTGGGTTTCTGAAGTGGGATCAGACTGCCACTGCCTATATCAACCACCTCGTGTTGCTCAAACATGCCGTTGAAAATGCTGGTCAACACAGGAGCCAAAGCATCACTTGCATACTTCATCAGTTCTGTGGGGATACTGTCGTCTCCTGCGGCACGGCCATTGTTCAGTTTCCCGAGACAGCCTGCAATCTCTGAAGATGTAATGGGAGTTTGCAGAGGACGTGGCTGTCCCTGGAACGGTGAGATGTCTGTGGCGCTTGGTGAGCTGAACTGACTTGAGAAATGGCTTCCAATTGCCTCAGCTGCTTCCTTCTCGTTTACTATGATTTTTCCGGTGTTGTCAGCAACTGTAGGCTTCACAGCTCCACGTCTCCGCATTAACTGAACAGCTTTGAACATTCGAGCACCGTCCCGCAACTTCTCCACCTCCTTTGCCTTTTCGTCCAGCCGTAATTCTGCTTCCTTCAGCGCTGTTCTTCTGATGCTGTGAAGAATGCGGTTGCGTTCCTTCTTCAGGCCTGCCCGAGTTCCGGTGTTGGTGATATTTTCGATACGTAATTTTAGTTCTTTTTGAGCCTGAGACAGTCGGCGCAGTTCAGGGCTGTCCTTCACACCACGCTTTGCCCGGGCCTCTAGACCTAGCGATTTCTCTGCAGCATTCTTTATCGCCGGTGCTGTTTTCTGCCACAGCAATGCCGGTCCGCCGTCCTCCGTATCCACAGCAGAACCACCATCTGCCAACTCTGCGACGATTGTATCAATGTATTTCTCCCGGATCCGTGGGCTTGTCGGCAGATCACTTGTGTTGTATCGAACTGGCTTCAGGGAGGTTTGCTCGTCTGACCTATGATGCCCGAATATTCCATACATCCGATTGAGGAGGAACCTCGCCACCACCAGGCGATGGTCTGTTGATGTTTCGCATCCTCCATAGCTGCGGGAGTCCGTCAGCAGGCGTTTCCGGTTTTGATGACATGCAATGTAATCGATTTGGTTGTAAATCGGGACAGTATCACCCGTCTGCTGATCCCTCCGCCAACCCGTCCAGGTTGTCTTGTGACGAGCCGAATGCTGGAATGCAGTATTGGTGAGAAACAGGTTGTTGATTTCACAAAAGTCCATCAGGCTCTGACCAGCAATATTCCGCCTGCCACGACCATGCACGCCAATGCTGCTTTCATGCTTCCCTAGACGCACGCCTGCCTTAGCATTGAAGTCGCCAGCAACCAGAACGACAGCGCCACGACGAACTTCGTTGTAAGCTGTCGACAGCGCGGAGTAGAAGTCGTCGAGTTCCTCCGCATCACTGGCACACCTTGTTGAGGTCGGTGCATAAACGTTGATGAAGGCAAAGTCAGAATGCTGGCCCGCCGATAATGTGAGTACTGAAACTCTGTCCGACACTCTCCATGTGCGTTTGACCTTGTTGACGAGCTTGGCGTTTATCGCAAATCCTAGACCATAATGTCGACTGTCCGACTGCAAACAAATAATTCGATAGCCGTTTCGCTGCTCGTCAAGCCCTGCAGGTAACTTAGTCTCTTGAAGGGTACAGACGTCTATGCCGTAGAAAGAGAGGTCTCGACACAAGGAGTTTCTCTTGACGGCCGACGTGAGGCCCCGCACATTGAAGGTTCCGACAGCAAATTTTTCTTTTCCTCCGTAAAGCGTTCGTTCATCAGCTCGTACCATTGATTCCCGTCGCATCGTCCCGTCATTTATGTCCAATGAAAACTGCTCCCCAGTTGCGCGAGGAGACTAGAAATTCCTCCGGTGAGCGAGGAAGAAGAGCGGAGTTACCCAACTCAACCAAACATGACATACCTAGCTATGAAAATGTATACAAATGTAGCTGTCAGGCATGCGGAAAATGCACTTTGGGTGCCTATTACCACCCTCGATATCGGGAAGGTCCCGGACAAATCGTTATGGTTGGTAGGCATGCTATTATTTTATTTATTTTATTTATTTCACTCAACTCGTGGTTCATGACCAATTGGCACGCAAAGTGCGAGATTATAACACCAAGAAGCATCATTAGACCAACATCGATTTCAAAATACGGCCATCATTGACATCCTCAATAGTAGAATTCTGTCCTTTCAGCGGAATAGAATTTTGCAACATCGGCGGATATATCGAAAGAAGGTGGCCACACCAAACTCGTTAGCTCATACTTTCACCCAACGAACTCACCCTTCACTGTAAGAAACAGGAGCTGTAGAGTTTGTTGTAGGCACCTTCTTCAAGTCATTTCCAGCTACAAACAATACCAGTCACAGGCGCTTCGGACGGTATTTCAGGGTTGGACGGTCAGCCACCTGAAGTACAATAATTAATTTTACTCGTGGGGTTGGGGGAGTCTCCTCTGAAACGTTT